CTTCGGTTTTTAGAACGGGTTTCCATCTTGACCAGATGTTTTAACGTGTCAATTTATCGCTTTCTGTCTATTGTAGAATTTCCAAAAGCACATGAAGGCAGCAGGAGACCAGCACAGCCCCAGCAAGACGTCACAACACGCTACGTCATTATTATTGTTATGGACGCCAACAAAGGATGAGGAGGGCACTCTGTTAATCTGTACGGATTAAAACTGTGAAATATTTAATATGTTAAACTGAACAATAATAAAACGCCTCTTTTGAATCTAAATAATTAATTTTTTTGCTGAAGCATTCCTCGTTTAACATTTCGAGCTGGGACGTATGTCTGTTTACGCCTGTTTTTGTTGCTAAGCAACGACGCAACACAGAGACGGCTGGAGACTGTCTATGAGTCGAAGACAGCAAATGTTTTTTGTGAATTGATGTCTTTCATTAGCAGCCCGGTTGGCTTGTCTATCCCAGGGAGAACTGTTTGTTCTCTCATCTCTCAATGCGTGAGCTTTGCTTATATAAACAGTTTATTTTTGGGCTTTTCTAGTGGATTTAAGATGGCATCAAACTATGCATCACTTGTGAAGGAAGCCGTTCAGCTCCTCGACAAGTTTAGAGCTAGCAGACAGTGTTTGGATGACTTCACAGAAGATGCTATGAAGGATCTGCAGGTATGTCAGACTCAGATCAATGTGAGTGGATGCATAGGCCTGCTTCTGATTAGTCTGTATTTCTTGTTTTGTCACAGGACATGGACATGCTGCAGAGGAAGTTCATTCTTGATGTTGTTTCCGGATGTGTTGAGCAAAAGAAGCTGCTGGATGTAGTCATCAATGCCTTCTTTGGCCAGCACGTAAAATCAGTGTCCAGAGGTGAACGTAGCCAGTTTGTTGGTGAGTAACTTCATTGCTACTCCTGATTTCAGCCTGAATAAAAGAACTGACACGTTTTAATGATCGTCTTGCTCCCCAGTTATCTGTTACCTGGCCACATTTCTTCTTGATGACCTCGGGCTTCAGTGTTTTAGCAGCATTGTTAAATCTCTGGACATCAAGAAAATGCACATGGTAAGAAACACAAATTCTGGGTGCAGAAGAGGGAAATTAATCAGCAGCTTTCTTATGTTTCACTTTTCAAAATTAGTTTTTAGGTTTCTTCTTCTCAAACCTCACCACGTGGATACAGGATGAGTGGAACAACATCTATGATGCTGCCTTTGTGGAGAAACAGTGGATTGGGCCTCTACTCAGGTAAGAAAAGCATGATAAACAAAAATACTACTTAGGTAATAACACTATAATAACTCAAAAAATGAATGGAAAACTTAAATCTACACATTGTGTAATTCACTGACAACAAAAAGACATGACAGCAGTCAGTAGCAAACAAAATTTTTAATCCTTTGAGGGCTGTATTCAGTGATTGATTTGACGCTGAAGTCACATGAAGTTCGGCACAGCGTCTGTAGACTCTTTCATTCCTGTCACATAGGCTCAGTGTGAACATGCAAGAGAATAGGGAACTAAGGGGTGCTCATGCCATTGATCATTGAGTCTGTTTCCTCACAGTCTGGTCAGAAATGTGCACAAGTATTCCAGTGGAGGTTGTTTTGTGAGCAGAGCATTTCAAATTCAGACAACCCAAATGTTTGCGTGTGTGTCCTTTAGGTGGCGCCCTGAGATAGATATTCTCATGGACCAGCTTGCAGTCAAGATCTCTCAAGGGAATCTGCTCAAGAAAGCTGCAACCAAAACCACTGAGCCCCAGGAGTTCGCCCTCACCGAACCTAAACCACGGCCTCTACCCATGCCCGAGCTCATCCCACAGCAGAAGAAATGCAAACCAGTCAGTATCAGTTACAAAAAGTCCTTTAATTTGAGAATTTTTCATGTCCTCAATCCTTAAAGAGAATGTAAGCTGTAAACTGTGTAGAGGCTGGTGCGTCACTCTTGTTTGTCATGCAGGTACCAAGCAGCACCTACAAGGCTCCAAAGGAGAAGCAGATAATCGAGGAGAATAAACAGAAGAACCATCAAAAGGCTCAGGTACAATGAATCTAATACAAAAGAAGATATGTTTAACAGTTAAACGGCAGCTGGCACATTTAAGTTCAATAATAGTAGATATTATCAAAAAATTTTATATTTTTAAATTCAATTACATATACTGCCATTAAAAAGTTCGCTTATCTGTTTTCTACCAAAGGAGCTTCTGTATGAAGCGAATATCAAACAGTTCAGATGTGGAAATCCACAGAAGTCTGAGCACACAAAGGTGTGTATGTGTGTGTGTGTGTGTGTGTGTGTGTGTGTGTGTGTGTGTGTGTGTGTGTGTGTGTGTGTGTGTGTGTGTGTGTGTGTGTGTGTGTGTGTGTGTGTGTGTGTGTGTGAGGGTGGGCTTGTATTCTGTTGGCTTCAACACCATCTCATACTTGTTCCACAGAGAGTGATGTCCAAGATTGAGGAAGACTTGGATTCAAGGCTCAAGCCTAATTCCTTCCATTCCCGTGGAGCTCCTTCCAGTAATAAGGTAAGACCTAAGTACTCTGCCGGTTTCTAGATAGCCTAATGTTGGTGTAATATCTGCTGTCATGTGTATATTTTTTACAGGCTGTCAGCTATCCGATCAAACTCAACAATGCAGCTATTTTAAGGAAGGAGGCACTGTATAAGCGTTGGGTGGAGGAGGAGGTCCAAAGGTACAGCACAGCTTTTACCTGCTACTTTGACCTTTTCCAAGGTGTCTGCATAGTGCTCCACGAGGATGAAGTGCAAATCAAACACATGAAAAGTTGCGTCCTTTGTGCGTCTGTTTTTAATACAGAATTGAGCGGCTGGTGCAAGGCGAGCGCGATCCTTCATCTTTCCTGCAGTGGCAAAAGGAGATGCGTGAGAAGGACCTTCAGGAGCAGTTGCCCAAGATTGAGCGCCGACACCTGGAGGCATGCATCAGTGAACAGGAGGCAGCTCTGGCCCGCAAACGTATAATGGAGCGCAATCAGAAGGCTGCGCAGCTGAAGAAAGAAGAGGTAGGTAAAAACCAAGTGGCAACTAATAAATAAAAGGAATTCACAGAGGATTAAACTTGTTGTCGTCTTCTTTATGGCTTTTTTGCTTTTTCTAGACCGCTCAGCTGATGCAAAGATATGCTGAGAAAAGGTTGCAAGAGGAAAAGGAAATAAAGGATCTGGTGCAGCAAGTGGCAGATGGCCACAAGAATTCAAAGGCAGCTAAAGAGAAGTTACAGAAGCTGAAGCAAAGCATAGGTGCGCCTCCTCAAGCAGCTTGTCAAACGGGGCATTTCACGTGTTTCTTTTTGCTGTTCACATCAATGTCATGACAAATTTCACAGTGAAAGAAGTCTCCAAACAGAACCAGGAGCTGCTTCGTCAAGCACTGGAGGAAGCAGAGGCAGAGATGAGCCGCAAATTTGAAGTCATCCGAGAAATTCACTGCATTGAGTCGCTTCCTCGCATGAAATTCAAGAAATTTGATGACACAGACGTAAGTGAAGGAAAGCTGCAGTACTATGCAAAAAAGAAAAGTGGTTTCAATGTGGATCGAGACTTTTGCACAGTGCTGTATCTTATACTGAGATGCTGTTATCGATCTCTGTGTCACAGTTATCTAATCCCATGTCAGACTGTAGGCCATGAGCTGCTGGGAGAAATGTCGCTGTATGAGACGAAGGAGCGGCTGGCCCATCTGAAGAACAAGCAGCAAGCAGAGCAGGAGGAGAAACGGAAGCTCATCCTGGAGGAGAAGCAGAAACAGAAGCAGCAGCTGATGGAGAAGCTGGATGCCATCAACTTCCACAGCAGCGTCCTGGCACAAGCTACGGCCATCAGGTCAGGAAAGTGGCAAACAAAAATACTCAAACGCAGAAATGTGCACATGTGCATGTACTGATGCTAGTTTTGGCATGTGGCAGGAAAGAGGAGAGGAAAGCCGAGAAGGAATTAATTCAGCAGGTGGTGGCTCAGGATGAGACGGTTTTAGCTCTGAAGAAGATGCTTGAAGAGAAAAAGCAAGAACGTCAAAAGCTCAAGCAAACTGAAAGCAAGGTCAAAGCCCCTGAACAGACAGGAGGACACACAGGGACACACAGCCAGGTGAGTGTAAAGTCCACAACAAAGAAGAAATGAAAGAAGAAATAAAACGTATCCATAACTCCTTTCTCTGTTTCCTCTTTTGCCAGGCGAGTGTGACAAGCTGGGAGGAGCTGGAGCAGAGCTTGTCGCGCCTTGTAGAGAATTTTTCTTGACTCAAGCTATAAATGTGTTTATCAGGCACTGCAATCTTATGACTGTTTAATTTAATAAAACACGTGTGGATAACATGTGCAGTCATTTGAAGTTGCACTTATGTACTGATGTTGATCGCTGCTTGGTTTTCTGCAACAGTCGAGTATTACGACTTTTTTTTATTTTTTGTTTCAATTACTGCCAAAGTTATCGAAACTCACGTCTGTACGTAACATGAAAAAAGGAAGCGAGCCTTCAACCGTGACTGATGAGGAATGTTTCCCTTCCCCTAAACAATACTGTTTTCTGTGGCTTTCTGTGGTTTTCTGCGTCTTGCTACCAATTTACTGTACTAAATAAATACCAAGAGTCAAGTATCATATCTTTTGGGACTATCCACAACAACAAAAAAGAGAACTACTGCAAGCATAGACACAAGAATTGAACAATATACAATAACATTTCTCTGTGATATTCTATATTTAGCACAAAGCAACATAAAGTATATTAATGATATGATTTTTTTTTTTTTTTTGTAAAAATTAATTAAGTAATTTTCATGATAAATTCGTATTACTGCTTGGACCTAGTTTGAATCGCTTCACCTGCGGACCGGGAGCAACTCTGAGCCTAATGCATGATGTTTTAATAAGGCGGTGGTGTCCCTGTTGGTTGTTCCTTGTAACTACACCAGATCTGTCTTGAATTGAGCCCATTTCTCTCGGTTTTTTCCCTCTAAACCAAAATCACATGATGCCTTTTTGTCATATGACACTGATGAGTGGGCTGATTCCCCTGACAGCGTACTCTATGAAAACAAAGGAAACGCTGCCACATTTAAGAGATGAGATGCTGTAGACAAGCATTGTTTGGTGGCTGCAGTCGGTAATCTGGAGCATGGACTGTCGGGGAGTTCTGGCTGCGATCACCGCCGCTTGTTTCATAGGTAAGTGGAGTGGCTTGTACCGTTAACGAAACGGCGGCGGTAATCCTATAAACCAAGGGTCTAATACAGAGATTTACTATATAGTATGAAAAAAAGCATGAAGTCACCTTAGGTTAATTCACTACTGAAAAGTGCTGATGGTTTGTTATTGAAAGTATAGAAACAGTAGAATCAGTTCTAATGTTGTTGCATCATGTAATTTAGACTTTGTTCAAAGCAAAACTTTATTACACACACTTTTCTTTGCACCAGGACACCATAATGAAATTAATACACTGGCTCACTGTATTTCCGTGGTACTTATTGCTTTTGTATTTCTGTTAATATAATTTTATCCGTTTTTACAAACTCCCTGACTTGTAATTCAAGAAGCATATCTATTTGGGAGAGAACTGCTGCCAACCCAGAGGAGACTGGAGCTGAGAAATCATATGACCCCTTTCTGAATAATTGCATTTCATGAGGAGGATGGCTCCTATTCAAGAAAGCAGTTAAGCGCAAGGCTTATGTGATTACTACCACAATATGGGCTCTGTTTTGCTGATGTGCCTATACCTTTTGCAGCCACCTTTTTTTCTTTCTTTCCCTGTTGGATAAACTTTTTGTAAAATCATTCAGCTATAGTTGATTGAAGAAGTTCTTCCTCTTTTAATAAAGGCAATGCAGCAAGGTTGGCTCTCAGGTCACTCATCCACTTGCTAACATTTATTTTTCATACTTCTGTTGTGTCCCTGAGGCTGTGTCCTAGCTCAGTGCGTGTCTAGGGAGGAGGGACGTGAGGGTTCAACCTCAGTCCACAGCAACATTTCAAAGCAGGAGACTGAATCATGGAGAGATGCAGGGAGACAGGAGTTAAAATCCTGGTTATTATTTGCAATACTAATAAATAAACGAAAACATTCAAAGAAAAGGTATGCAGGAGGGTCCCCCAAAATGTTTGCTTACACTGTTTGTATTAATTATTAGTGATCATACCACATATTTTTGCTTTTATGCACTCGAGCCATAACTTTTTCACTACATTTAGGTACTTTTGAACCTTTTTAAGACAGCTGACCGCATATATACCATTGTGTCCTTCCTTCTCAGGCTTAGTGGTGAGCCAGACCACTCTTACTCCTGCTGTGACAGATACCACTCTGATCGAAAATGTGACCAGTCTGACTCCGACACCCGTGATTTTCAGCAGCACCACCTCAGGCTGCTTCACTTTTAACCTTTCTGCTTGTGAGCCATGTGCTCCGGGGTCACAGTACGACAACAGTGAGTCAGTGACTATCATCTGCCATGGCTTTATTTTATGATATTTCTAAATATGCTATATTTAATGTCCTTTCTGTTAAGTACCTGGCTTTGCTTTTGTTGATATTAAAGTAAGCTGTATGATATTAAAGCAGCAAAAATGAAGAGTAAAATCAACTTTTTGTCAATCCCCCCCAGACACCCTTCTGTGCACGTGCTGTCCTGACTCAGGGCGGTGTGTATTTCCTGGCGCGTGCCTGCCATGCACCAGAGGATTTTATCAGCCACTAGAAGGACAGCAGCAGTGTCTACCTTGCAGCCGGGGCTTCTACACCAAGTAAAGACTAATTTTGTTCCAGCAAATTCAAACTTCACTTTTTTTTCTCTCTTTTTAAATATAAATCCAGAGTTTACATCACTAATAATTTTTTCATATGCTGTATCCACTTCAGTTTCATTGGAAGTCCATTATGTCGCCCTTGCCCTCCTGGGTCCTTCAACAATAACACTGGTGAAGACTCTTGCACAAGTTGCTCACCAGGTTTGTTTATCTAGCAGTTACTCATTGTTTTCTATATCAGAAAACAGAGAGTGTTGATTCCCATACATATGCTTTAATTGTAAAATATTGCTATAAAATACACACAACTTAAAGAGAAAGGCACGCTTTATGCTTTTGATTATTTTCTGTTACAAAACAATGGATCCTCTTAGTGGATGTGGTTTCAAATAATAGCTTAAGGTTCAGGCTTCAGACTCCTCTAAACATTTGCTCGGTAGCTTTTCCGTATGATGTCACTCTGAGGTGATATCTGTATTATGGTTATCTCAGGAAATTTGAACAGGTCCCCTTAAAGTCTATAGATATGCTTGCATTAGTATATGTTGATATCTATAACTCAAAACCACAAATTATGTATATTTCTGTTCGTTTTTTAGGTTTCTTTTCATCGCAGGGTAATTCTACTTCATGTAAACCATGTGCACAAGGACGTTTTTGCAAGTAAGTTGGACCTGATTGCTGCTGGGACTGCATTTCTGTTTGTGTGTCCATTTTTCTGTTTTGTTGTTGTTGCCCTGTAACTGAGCAGAACTCAGTGTTTGGAAAATAACTTATCTAACCACCAAACTGAGCATCACATGCTTTCATCTCATGGTTCTGAGTTGCCTGCACAGTTGCACGCCACACAAACACACCCACACGCACAGACACACACAGGACTAGCGTCTGCTTTGAGTAATCTGCAGCTGGCACAAAGTCACGAATGGCATGCACAGCCCTGTTTAAGTGGTTTATGTGACTCCTATTGAAATGAATGTAGTTTTGATTCATGACAAAAATGCATTATCCCTCCATTACAGTTTGAGGTATGGTTACAGGGGGCTAATACTCCTTTGGATTTTCCCAGGTTATTTTTGAGAGTTTCCAGACTAGATAGGATATGTAGGCTCACGCGGTCTAGATGACGTGTCCCAAATAACCTTCACAGGGAGGCGTATTGCAAGATTCTTAATCACAGCTAAACTGTGGGTGTAAAAGAGCAACAATATTAGCTCCTTCTGTGGATCTGGGGATTTATTTTTTACCATTTAGAAACTGACAGTCATTAAACACTCATAGTCATATTAAGCAACTTCTCCATTGGCAGAGCTTCAAGGCTTCATTGTGAGAGTCTGGTGACCTCTTTGCCTGCTGAAAGCACTTCCTAGGGCTGATTGCAAGTTTGCTTCTGCACTAATAAAAGCGATATTCCTTTTTAGTCTGTCCATACTTGCCAGCCAAGCCTGAAAGCCTATCTCCTCACTGCCAGCGTCTGCCAGCAGGTTCCTGGGCTGCTGCCATGATAGGAAGTGATGTCTCACAGCCACGACTCCATATGTTATTTACAGATGCTAAAAATAGTGTTTGGGACTTGGCCTCTCTTTATTTTTTTAGTTTGATGAACTACCTCCTGCCACCACCAAGTTACAAAACATTTCTCCAGTAGTCACTGTTTTATCCACTGATCTAACTGTTAACTATTGACAACAACCATTCATATTATTAGTAGGACCTTTGATCAGTAGACCTGCTCCAAAGTGTTCACATGTATTTTACAGCTATAAATGCTGTTTGTTTTTTTTTCCTGACAGCTCATCGGGTTGTACTCAGTGCCAGATGTGTCCTGGAGGCACAGAAGCTCTGCAGACTGCCACTAAGGACTGCTCTCCATGTCGGCCAGGTAAACTAGAGAATCTTAAATGGGCTGTCACTTAGTCATTTGTGTGAGTGTTTGCTGTGGCTTGCAATAGAGAAAGATAAGAATTGCTTTCCATCCCAGTGATGTGTGATTTTTGAACAGGTATGTACAAGGCCGCCCGTCAGAATATGTGTCAAATCTGCAGCAGTGGTTATTTTCAGATCCACTGGGGCCAGGAAAGCTGTGATATCTGCCCAGAGAATCACTACTGCCCTGTGAGTGCGCCACACTCTCTCCGATGAAATACATGCGTGTGCATTTAAAAGATATTTAGCGACAGAGCATGTTATTCTCTCAGAGTCCTGACGTGAACCCCATTCAGTGTCCGAGTGATGCCTTTTGTCCAGAGGGCAGCCTGGCTCCGGGCTACTGCATGGAGACTTTCTTCCGCAAAGCAGGGGACACTTGTGAACTGGCTCCTGTCACTATTGCTTTGTTAGTTATTGGAGGAGGGGGTGAGTAATACTAACAACGATTGTTTGATCCAAGCGATTTATTTATTTTTTGTGTCTGGTATTGTAATGGGTCATAAAGTTGCCTGTTTTCTGTAAAATTCACATTCAAATGAATTGAAAAAAGGAAAAAGTGATGAAACAAACTGGATTTTCAGTAACTTGACTCAGTTATAGTCCTGTTTATTGATATATAATAACTGTAAATGAGCCATGTTAATTCAAGCTCAATTCTTATGGCTAAATGCAGTCCTGTCAGGAGGTTCAAATAAAGATATAGTGAATTGAATTAGGAGTCATGGTCACATGCTAAAGCACTCTATGCCTGTAATGACGTGTGTGTCTCTCTCATATATGTCTGTGTGTTTTTTATTCCAGTGGCCTTACTTTTTATCATTTTAATGCTTTTACGTCGACGAAGAGAAACTGACGGAGAGCTGACAGTAGCCCGGGCTCCACTGTTACGAAAAGAGCGACCTCAAGGACGATACTATGGCCTGCCCTGTGATGCAGAACCTGTATATGCGGGCTGGTGAAGCACTAAGATACAAGAAGAGACACTGAAACACTGATAAAACTCCCTCCCTCCCCTCTAGAGACTACACCTTATCAAACCACCAGCCTGTCAATTGCAATGAATCACTGGCCAGTGGAGGTTGATTCTTTGGTGAATTCTTTCTGTCGCAATCGTTCCACTCAGAGAAAAATATTCCTTGTGTAAGTGAGGTTATTCGATTATGAGAGGTACGCTGGAATGACGAAAACAACATACATCCCTCTGCTTGGTGACAGCCTTTTTCACTTATGAAAAGCACTTTTTTTTTTAACAAGGTAATTGATTTACTTTGCATTCCTGTTTCAGTGCACTTACATTAACATCTGTTGTCTCAGTGATTACGTGTAAACTGTGGATGATACTTTTTTTTTTAAATTTAATTTAATTATATTTCTTTTTAGATACTTTTGCTTAAAGGTTTTTAACTGCTTTTTAAGGTTATATTTGTATGTTTTAGAAGAAAATAAAATATTCTGATTTCTAACCCTATTCAAATGCTATGTTATATTGTGGACTAGCTTTAAAATAAATGAAAACAAAAATCTGTATTGTCTTGATAATTTGTCCTAATATGCTGGGACAGTATAAAGTAATTTATTTCGAATGACCGTTAATAGGTTGTAAGTAATAGCACCTGTTATCATTAGTGTCCTCATATTAATTTATTTACTGGAGGAAAAAATCTTTTGGTGATATATCTTTTTAACAAGTACTGATTCTCCATATTCAAAACTTTTGATTGGCTGCATGTACTATATGTGTAATTAATTCAAATAATATATATATGTAAATATATAAACTTTTTATAAACAACTTTAAAACTCAAGAAAGACTCACATTTCACAGATTTCAAAACATTTTGAAAGACACTGGCTAATTTAACCAAGAAAAACAACGTAATTAATATCAGAACAGAATGTGTAATAACAACTGCCTTTCAGCAACATACAACACAAAACTGTAGTGTATTTTATCAAAGACAAACAGTGACAGTACAATGGCCTGCCAGCAGCAAAGAGTAGTGCTTTTATAACAGCCTTCAAGTAAATCTGGTGATATTATACCTTCCATTAGTGTGTAGAAAGTGTAATTTAGGCTGTGTTTTAATTGTTCAATTCTTGCTCCTGTATGCTGTGAATGTGGTGTTATACTGTCTTCTGCTAAGCGGAGAATTAAGAAATACAAACACTGTCTTAACCAGCTCTTTATAACTACCACAGCTGACATTACATGTGTCGCTTGTCTACAAAGCTTTGAAAGTAAAATTAGTTAAAAGACATTCTGAAGCAGGGCAATGGTTTTGACTTTAAAATGTATTTGAATACGTTTTAAAGCTTTTCCTACTGATAAAGTCCTCCCCCACCATGGCCATTCATGCCACAAAAAAGTAGTTAAGTAATAAATAAACAATTAAATGACAGAAAAGTTCCTGTTATCTGCTATAGAAAATTCTCTCTCTTTTTTTTTATTTTTTTACAATGGCTCTACAAGAATAATAAAAAAAGCTTCTGTTCAACAATTACAGACAGTAATTGAGAATTGAGAAACAAATTGAGATGTTCTGTTGAAATTGCTCCTCTTTTTCATATATTTACTGGGCTTTTTCACATGAATAATTAGTTTGACATGTCTGCGCTGTACCATCGGGGTTCTGATCACTCCCCAGATCATTCTGCAGTACTCCTGCAACACCAGATACACAGTTGGAGAGAACCGCGCACCTCAGGAAGAACAGATGGCCGTTACAACCCCCCACAGCCTGACACCTTCCATCAGGGAGTCAGGCTGATGCTGAGGATGCCTAAAACCACAGAAGTATGAATCAATCAATTCTTTAGAAATTAGTCATGGAAATATTTTTTGAACTATCACACTCTATTCTCAACATTAATCAGGCACTTGAATCCTCTTTTGCTAGTTTTATCTGTAACAGGTCACTGCTGCAGGTTGTATACTGTATATATGTGTCAGTGTTCTGCCTTGAAATGTTATGACAGTTGCAACCACTGTGTTGGAGTTCGGATATTCTGTCTGTGCCTCCGTGGGTTTCCTTCTACAGTCCAAAGATGTACATGTTAGGTTCGTCTGTCCCTTTGTGTCCTCGCTGTCTGACTGGTGATCTGTCCACGATGTACTACTTCTTGCCAGGTGTCAGCTGGTATAGCTGGTGAAGAAAATAGATGGATGAATGGATGGATGCTGTGGCATAATTATATTTACTGCACAACACAGCCCTACGCACAGCAGTCATTTTGATGAATCATAGCAGGGAAAGCACAGGCGTTATTAAGAACATCAATCACTATTTCATTTAGCTATCTAGATTGTGGATATTTGCTCCAGCTACATTTCTGTCATGGGCTATCTGTTCAGTAGGTACGGGGAAATTTGCCAGACTAAATAAATAAGAAAACTGAAATACTGATTTGGTCTTCCAGCAATGAACAATTCTTTCCAGATAATGTAAAAGTTCAACAGAAGAATGTGAAAAAATGGCAACTCTCAGGATCTCATGTTTACAGTGTGACAGCTATGTAGACAGACACAGCTGGAAGCTATATCATACTGTATATACACCAAGTAGACTGAATACAGGAGTATTTAATACATTTGTATTGGATAAAATGTGGTGTAGTGTGGTGCAGTGCCTGATAATCTTTTGATTACTGTAATACATGAAAGTTATATTGAAAAGTTATAAAGGACATAAATAAACAGTGCCACAGAAATACTCAATTTATGTTAAACCCACACAATGACATTTTACAAAAGCAATGGTACAGTAAAATACTAGGTATTTTATTGTAAATGTTTTTATACATAATTTTATTTTACTAAACAAAAGCAAAAGCTTTTTTAAGCTCGTCAGACGGGGGTAAAACTCTTACTTAGGCCAGTCTTAAAGAACCAACCTTATGTACAGTATTGTATTGTCCACAAACATGTTTTATTACACTGAAATGTGTTCATATGCGATTTATGCACATTTTACAAGTTTGGTTTGTCTCAAAATGACTTGAATGGTTCTCTCTCTCTCTCTCTTTTTAGCCTGCTCTGGTTTGCCATATCCTGCACAGCACAGCCAACCATGTCCTTCACTAGGTGGCGGTAAAGCGCTGTGTCGCTTCAACTTAACTTCATGCTTTTAACAAGAAGGTTTGTCCTAACGGGCCACCGTACTTACTTGGGCGTTCAGGAGGAAACATGGCGGCCACCCTGGCAAGGAGGCTGTCTGGTGTGTAACTGCAGTTTGACATTAATACAGTTTTATTTCACCCTCTTGATGCGGTGCTTGTTTATCATCTGTGTGTTACCGAGCAGTGCTGTTCAGTAACACATACAGAAATAGCTGAATTCGGTTTTATATTCATGTGTTTCTCTGTCGTCCTTGTGTTTGACAACAGGGTTGCTGAGGCCGCTGTCCGTGTCTGTATGTGCCCGGACACCACAGACCTGTCAGTCCAGCCTCGTCCAGTCTGCGCATCTCTACAGTTCTTTTACAGCCGCTGTCCGTGCTCCTCTCCAGGGTACAGTGTGGCAGACACCACGCTACAACATACTGCAGAGGTAAGGAGTGAAGGAATAGAAATATGAGGGCGATGCATTTGAGTAATTAAGCTCCCCAAAGTAACAGGCTAGGTTAATGTTCGTCCTAATCACGATTAGGTACAGGTTTTCCTCCAGGAAACCGTTTCACCGAATTGATAATCCGAGCTAATCTCATCTTGTGACACTTTTGTTGGTAGTGGACAGCCGGTATACAGCATAGAGGACTTGCAGTGACACAGCACCTGCTTTCCACGCTCACTGGGAGTGTTTTGTAGTTGTTTGTTTCTACTGTTGGCAAAAGGCGTCTTTATTTCGGATATAAAACACAAAAAAACTGAGATGACTAAAATGTGACTTCAACAGCTGCATCACAGAGTCTTTATAATGTAAGCACTTTGCAGCGGGTCTGAAAAAACAAAAGAGTTTTCTATTATTTATTTTACCTAAAATAAATAATTTATTTCACCTTTTTGGACCCCCATTTTTTCTTCATAATTTCCTTAATTGTAAAGGCAAAACAAATTCAATGATGTGCTGGGAACTGACATGACAGCATGTCACAGCTGCTGCAGATTTGTCCACTGCACATCCATGATGTGAGTCTCCTGCTCCACCACATCCCAAAGTTGCATTCTGGTGATGATGGAGCCATTTGCATACAGTCATTCTCATTGTCATGTTCAAAGATATGAGTTTGAGAAGATTTGAGCTTTGTGACATGATGCTTTATCCTGCAGCCGTCAGAAGATGAGTACAGAGGTCAGAAAGGGAGGGACGTGGTCAGCAGCAATGCTCAGCTTAGTTGGTGCTAAGGGCTCAAAATGTGCCAAGAAAATATCCCCACACTATTCCAACATCAGCAGCAGTGTCAATAGTTGATACAGGGCAGTTTGACCTGTTTTCATGTTGTTTACTCATATTCTGACCCTACCATCTGAATGTGAAGCAACAATCAAGACTCATCAGACCAGGCAAGCTCTTGCCTGTCTTGTTGTCCAATTTTGGTGACCCAGTATTAACTGTAGCATCAGTTTCCTGTTCAGAGATGCTCTTCAGCACAGCTTGGTCATAATAGTGGGCATTTGAGTTACTGTTGCTTTTCTATCAAGTTGAAGCAGTCTGGTCATTCTCCTCTGACTTCTGGGCCCTATTTCAGGAAGCCGGTTTAGTGCAAACTCTGAGTAAGTATACCCTGAGTTAACAAAAACTCTGGGTTTTCGGTTTCACAAAGCGAGTTTAGATTAATTCTGAGTGAGTTACTATGACGACACACTCCGTGAAGCTAACCTGCCCCCTAGCAGGTTTACTTCAACTAACCCTGACCTTCTCCGCCTCTTTGTCAGAAACCTGACTGTAGGAAGTGTCGGACATGGCGTGCCCCTTCCTTGAAGAGCCAGTAGATGTTGAAGCCCAAATTCTCCGCAGAGCTCTCCGCCGGGAGAGAGTGATTAGAGCGCGTTCGGACATTTTATCATTTCCTGATGATTTCCTGTGTGAACGTTACAGTTTTTCAGCACAATCTATAATTTATTTGAATAACATCCTCAGGCCTAATATTGCTCATGTGACACATCGTGGACATCCTCTCAGTTCTGTACATATTATTTGTATTGCACTTCGGTTTTTTGCAAACGGGAGCTTTCTGTATAATATTGGTGACGCTGAGCACGTTTCCAAGGCTACCGTCTGTCGGGCAGTCAGGTTGTTACAGTTGCACTGAAACGTCTCCTGTACTCGTTTGTGGTGTTCCCCGGTCATAGACCCACAAGATTCATCAAAGAGGGATGCCACAAAATTGCAGGTATCAGGATGAACGAAACTTAATTCATGATGTGGTGATACTTGAACTACTACTTAAATTTTACATTTATTCTCACGGTTCCCAGGCGTGATTGGCTGTATAGATGGCACTCACATTCCAATCATTGCTCCTTCAGTAAATGAAGGATGTGAACAGGAAGTCTTTCCACAGCATTAATGTGCAGGTACATAGTTCCCTGTAGCATTTCAAACTAACAAATTATTTCATTATAGTAATGGATGCTAATTTGTGTTCTCTGCACTGTGAAGATCATATGTGATGCTGCCAACATTATCACAAATGTGGAAGCCAACTGCTCAGCCTCTGTGAGTGGTGGTGGTGGTGGAGGACCCCCACCTGTTTTTCAGGCCTCCGCTTTTTTTTTCTGTTGGCTATAACGGGTCACATTTGAGCATACAGAGTAAGCAAATATGTACTTGTAATGTGCTCAGATAATTTCAATAAGTGCTTACAGAGGGGAAATTAATGTAGCCTCTAACTGCAATTGATTTACATGGGACAAACAGACCAAGCACTATGGCTCATAATACAATTACACCTTACCTGTTTGGACTATATTTTTATATTTCATTTTTACTTGCTGCCAGGAATGTTTGGGGCCTGTTGGGTTGCACCTGCGCTCACATCACGTCACAAAATAAAATGTATAAAAAATAAAATAAAATAAAATAAAATAACGTGTTAAATGGGTGGAAATCCCTAGATCAATGTTTAAATTAACACTCACGCATTGACTCTGTCGGCTTTGTTTTGCCATGCATGCTCCCTTTCTTTTGCAGCTGAGGCTGTGTTACTTTTTTTCCGCGGAATTTGCATGTTATCGGCATATGCTGCCATCAGAATTTCGGCCTCAAGCGCTGTAAGATACATTGACCGCGCCTTCTTTCCCTCCGTCTCCATGGTGACTCGCTTAATCTGTGCTCCACTAATCAGGGCTTTATGTATCCTCGTGCGCGCGCTTAATTTGGGGTTAAAGCAACTCCGCGTTGATTGAACTAATTGTTATCAGCCTTTCTGCAACCGAATATTCCGAGTTGGACAGTTCGGGGTTACTCAACCCTGAGTATCGTTTTTCACTCTGAGTTTTCTAAACCGGCTTCCTGAAATAGGGCCCTGGTGTTGAAGCATTTCCACCCAAACTGCTGCTCACTGGATACTTTCTCTTTTTTTTTTAGCTCATTCTCTGTAAACCATAGAGATGACTGTTTGGGAAAATCCCAGCAGATTAGCAGCTTTTTAAATATTCTGACCCTTCTGACACAAATAACCATGCAACCATGTTCAGAGTCACTTCTTCCTCATTCTGATGCTCTGTTTTCATTTCAGTACATCCTCTACATGACAAAAGCCACTCAGTTGCTTCCATATGAGTGGATAATTATATATTTGTGTTAACAAGCTGGTGAACAGGTGTACAAAGTAAGTATGTTCTTTGTAACAGCTGTTCTGCTTCTCTCTGTTGTTGCAGGGTGTTGGCACTTGTTCCTAGTCGAACTCAGCAGCCAAGCAGAAGTCTGACTTACTATAGTGTCAAGAAGGGGAAGAGAAAGAGTGTAAAATCTGTCACAGATAGGTTCATGAGGCTGCACTGTGGCCTTTGGATCCGACGCAAGGTTTGTATGTGTTACAGCTGCTTGAGTCATATGTTAATTGTAGGTAACGTGTTAAATTTAACTTCTTGATTTTGAATATGAACAGGCTGGATACAAGAAGAAGCTCTGGAAGAAGAAACCTGCCAGACGAAAGCGCCTCAGAGAGATCGTATTCTGTAGCAAAACACAATGCAAGCTTTTAGATAAAATGACAACCTCATTTTGGAAAAGGAGAAACTGGTACGTCGATGATCCATACCTGAAGTACCACGATCGGGTCAACCTCAAACCCTAATTTGCTGATTCACGTAATGACATCTTGTCTTCTGCTTGTAATGTAATGATGTTGTATATGTGTCAGATAAATCATCACATTTTGCCATACTTTCCCTGTAAGTTTTCTTTTAAAGCAAATACGCAGAAAAAAGAACAGACACAAAAGTTCTGCTTTATATTTAATGGTTGTAAGTTGATTTCACCAACGGAAATATTTAAACAAGTGAAACAAATTGATAGTCATGAACCAATATGCCATCACATCACGTCTTTTTGTTTCATAATTCACAATTAAGTTTAAGTTGAATTAACTTGACATTCTGGCCTGCCAGAAAAAAAATCTGAGGATACGTTAGTACAATGACTTGCGTGTCTCCCACTGCTTAAAGTGTTAAGTGGCTAATTTACCAGTTAATAAGACATGTTTGTATGCGTATATATTTATTTAACCAACTGATAGCCATAACATTTCTTTTTATAAATCAACTAAAGAAGAAAATGTTTACCAGCAAGGCATCTGAAGAGGCCAACAGCTTCACACAAAAGCACTTAAGAAATCAAATTCTCATACAAATTAATAACAAAACATCATGCAATGATGACTTCATCAATCTACACACAAGTATACAGATCTGCAACTTTGTAACATGTTTTTTCCTGTTTTGCTTTGAATGAATTTCAAAGAAATCACCTCCAACACTACCACAGATACTACTAATGCTTAAACACATCATTTGATTCCCCCCACCCCCCATTTTTTATAACTTTTTATCTGTTTAAAGAGCATTTTATGTGCATAATAAGTGTATCTACAACATCAGAGTGAGTGACGTGTAAACAGAACAGTTGTACCTGAGAAGCTTTTTGTTTCAAACCCACCTTAAATGATACAGATACATAGAGGAAACTTAGAAATCTACTGGGCTAATCCTGTCAATCGACAACCAGCACAGTGATACTTTGTTTAGAACGTCGCCGAGGTTCAGGCGCAGCGAGTAAAGTTCAGGATGAAAACAAACAACGCTTCACCACGCACTGCTAATTCATAAAGGTTGTAAACCTGAAAAACCACTAAAGTCACTCTCGTGATTTTCTAAATAACAACGGAAGCAAATAACGGTAACGAGAGTCGGGCTTAGAGTTGCTCAGTTCACAGCAGAACATTGCACAGTGATTTTAAACATGTAAATAAAAAGATAAAACAACCATGTCCATATACAGTTAATGTTTAACCATGTAGTATCCTACTCTTGCTACAGCAGAAAAGTGACTTAATCCTAATTGCACTAAAAACTGCCAATTAAATGACAGAACATGCTTAGAAACTAAACAGATTGTCAAAAACAGTCAGCTCCACTAACGAAACATCTTATGTAATGACTTTTTTTCCTCTTTTCTTTCTTTCTTTTCTAAATCTGTGATGCACGTGTTGTTTTTTGGTACACAAAAAAACTATTTACCACCGAAAAAACGCACAATAATGAAAGTGATTGATGGTGGTGTTCAGTGACTTATATTTATTTATTTATTCAGCTATTTTAGATTATTGAGGGCAGTGATTTCTATTCTAAACCTAGTGCATATTAATAACACTGTTGGAAATGCAACATTTAAGTTTCTGCTATCTCTTTTTTTAAGGCTTTAAGAGAGAGGTAATAAACAGAATCATATCTGTCACTTGTTGCTTGATCTTCGCTTGGATAACTGATTGATTTATTAATACTTTGTTGTGATAATTATTGAAGTGCAGAAAAGCTGCTCTCCAGAGAAAAATTATTTCACGTGGGTAAAAACAGCCCGGTCTATGCTGTTGATCCTTGGCTTCTATCACATTCTCTTGCTCACTGTGCCCGCTGTAATGTTCAGTGACAGTACATTCTGTTTAATAACAGCAGACTAATGCCTGGGAAGACACACATGCATTTGCTTGTCCAGACTTGATAGATTAAAAACAAAGAAATCATAAAGATGAAGCACACATAAACCTGTACATAAATACATATTCAATAACCAACGAACTCAAAGTGTCTTCTCGGCATGGCACCCATTCACTCATTTCTTCTACCTCAACATTTTAAATCATGAGTCACTTGCTATATGCTGTATATAGAGGGGTCATCATAGGTCACTTTGGTAATACCTTATTCCAAAGCAGGGCTGCTTCAGTCATGTAGCTTTTGGCCATTCAGTATTTTTGTTTTAACTTCTTGCAGAAAAGGCAGCTGGAGTAGTCTTGAGGACAGTTTCACATGGCTTCATTGTTCGAAGAAAGAGCACTCCTGGATCTTGTGAGAGGCCTTAAGACTCTATGAGGAGGCTAGAAGGGACGAGAGAAGCGAACAGAGAGATGGAATTCAGTCAGCCAGTAGCTGCAAGGAGTCGCAAAGTATTTATTAAAGGATAAAGGCTGGCATTATTTTGTATTTTTCTTATTGTCAAGATGAAAGCAAAACTAAGAAACAGTTTCCCTGTTTTTCCAATTTACCTCTCAGACCAAAGCCTGTTTATTTCTACAGAAGTCATTAACAGGAGAGGAGATTGCAAATATTTACTTTAATTCCTTTTAAGGAGCAGACGGCAATTTAAAAAAATGTACTGTAAACATTACAAAAGAGGAGTAAACATTGTAGTAGTGAATAATCTTCTTCTGTGGATTATCAGCTCAGTGTGCTGGGACCAGACTGTCTCTAGGGTAAAAACACAGCATGTAACGCTTTCAAAGGTTGCCAAGTGCAACACTTTTACTGAAGAGGCCGCCTAGTATCACTATGACTGTGAATGTGTTGTGTTTAATTCTTTGTTAGGGACACCTGTTCAGCTGCTTATTAACACAAATATCTAAAGAGCTAATAACATGGCAGGAACCCAGTGCATTTACGAACAATGACCTGCTGGATATTGAGCATCAGAATGGTGAAGAAAAGTGATTTAAGTGATGGCATGGTTGTTGGTGCCAGATGGTTCTGGTCTGAGTATTTCAGAAATTGTTGATCTACTGGGATTTTTCCCACACTGCCATCTGTAGAGTTTACAGAGAATCGTATGTAAAGAGAGAAAAATGCAGTGAGTGGTAGTTTTCTGGGTGAAAATGTCTTTTTGATATCAGATGTCAGAGGAGCATGACATGATTACCCAAATAGCCACTCTTTGCAACCAAGTTTATGCAGAAGAGCTTCTCTGAACACACAAGAGCAAAAGATCACTTCAGGTGCCACTCCTGCTAAGAACAGGAAACCGAGGCTGTAATTTCTACAGGCTCAAAAAATTGGACAATAGAAGAAATGCTGCCAGTATCCTAGTATTTTATAGGATACTATGGGTCCCTTAAAATCAACTCTTTATGACCACAGTACCTATCGTCTGATGGCTGCTTCCAGCAGGAAAATGTTGCATGTCACAAGGCTCAAATCATCTCAAGCTGGCTTCTTTAATACGACAGTGAGTTCACTGTTCTGGCCTCCACAGTCAACAGATCTCAATCCAACGTAGCAACTTTGAAATGTGGTGGAACGTGAGATTCCCACCATGGATATGCAGCGGACATATCTGCAGAAACTGTGTGACGCTATCATGTCAACCTGGACTGGAATCTCTGAGGAATGTTTCCAGTATCTTGTTGAATCTCTGCCATGAAGACTAAAGGTAGCTCTGAAAACAAAATAGGCTCCACCTGGTAAGAACAAGGTGGTACTTAAAGTGTCTGGTGAGTGTATGTTGAATCAAATGTGGCACAGAATAGCTTAAATGACATCAGTGTTTACTGACTGTTGAGAGGCTGTTCATAATTTTAATATGCAGCTTAATTAAGAGCTTGTGTCTTTAAAACTTGAATTTGGCCTGGTGGTTAAGAGAAGCATGCTTTACTGTTTTTCTCACGTTTCTCTTGTCAATAGCGAGACCTTAGAGCAGGGGTGGGCAATCTCAGTCCACGAGGGCCGGTGTCCCTAGATCTCACCTTGGGTCAACACACCTGAATCACACAATTAGTTCGTTACCAGGCCTCTGGAGAACTTCAGGACATGTTGAGGAGTTAATTTAGCCATTTAAATCAGCTTTGTTGGTTCGAGGACACATCTAAAACCTGCAGAGACACCGGCCCTCGTGGACTGAGATTGCACACCCCTGCCTTAGAGAATAGTAATGAATAGGTAAGTTTGGCCTTGCATCATTGGAGCTGTTACTAACTGATTGGGAGGGGGAGGGAAAAAGTCCTAGGTCTTGAGGCGTAAATGCACATTTGTTTCTCAGCAGAGTATTTGTGGTATCAGGGGACTGATGTGGTAATAACTTAAAAACAACAAAAAACTACAGTCCCATGTTGATTGTGATGAAACATTATGTCACTTAGCGCATGCGCTGTGGCTCACTGATGTTTCTACCAGGGTTTGGGTCGCACAGGAATAAGGAACAAGCTCTTTCAGGCTTTAGCTACCCAGGCAACACTCATTTGTAGTATCAATTCATTGTTGATTTTTTCATGTGATCTTCTGACAACTGAAAAAAAAATATTGCCAGCTTTATCCTTTAATAATCCTGCTTTATTTAGCTGTTCATTGAGAACGCCAATCAAAGACATACTAGGTGTTGAGGTTTATGAATGAATGCTGGTTCATTCCAGGGAAGGATTTCACACAAACATTTCCACATCAAAACTAAAAGTTATTCTAAATGGGTGAAACACACTAGAAGGCAAACCGTGTGAATTTATCAACAATGTTTAATATTTCCAAAAAATCTGAGTCACTGCAATCATGCAATCATTATTTGAACTAAATAATGTTTCTACCAAGTTAATGCATGATTCAGTTTCATCAGTGCAGAAATTCTATTAGCAATCTGGCTCTCCACCATCGCATAGGTACTGGACCATGATGATTTATTTAGGCACGCAGCAGCAGAAATTAGTGAATCATTGAGTAAATCACCATTCTCAAGGGGCAGTTAGGATCAGACAGCAGCTGAGCAGCCACGTTCACAAGGCAGTGTACCTCAGGAGCCTTCCGCTTAGTCAGCCTGAGCTGTGGAGATTTTGACGCTGCCTGCGCCTCTTTCCTCACCTCCTCAGGCTGCTCCAGAGCCACCGGAGTGGGAGGTAGAGAGGGTGCGGA